AAATCACAGGTTTGGTGATCAAAACCTGAAGGTGTCCCAGTAGGATGGTTTCCAGTTTCACCACCAGCTAGGAGACTAAACCAACTCTAGACATGGAAAGGGAAGTGACAGAGTCACGCTGTGATAGTTTTGAGATAGCTACTGGGAAAGAGAAGCAGACAGCTGATGAAGGAAATGGAGAAGCCACCGGGAGTGTGGCAAAGGTGACTGTAGACAGAGGATGCAAAAATATATGACACATGGTATACAATAAATACTCATCTCCTCCCCCTTTCTACCACCTTTTGAATATTCATACTTGTATTCTCTATTAGTGCACATAATGAGTGTCCAATTTTAATTGAATTGGGACTAAGTCCTCACACTCAATAGGTGAGGTTCATGCTTCTAGAAATGGGTTGGATTCCCTACCTGGCTGCAGAACTTTGCTATCCTGGTCAGAGACATGACAAAGGCAGCGTCTCTTGATACCAGTATGACTGAATTTCTGAGAACCTGGATCTTTGGGGACAGGAAAAAAAGCATTACAACTTTTGCACACTGTTCACCTGCCTCCGGGTCTTAATTTCCCCATTCACTAAACTGTGATCTATATCCACCAACTTAGAAAACCATGTTGTTAAGGTAACCAACCTGAATGGAGTGCTTTGTAATGTAGTTGGCCAAAAAGATCCTTTAAGGAGGTAATTTTTCACAGTACCAGCAACCATAAAAATGTTGGTGCATAATGACCTAGGAACTCCAGCCATAAGAACTATGTCTTACAACAGGTATTCCACACTTTTTCTATCAGCCCACCCAAGATACCACCATTAATAGACCATTCCTGGATTACGGACAAAACCTATTTAACCCAGGGTGTGACTGTGTACAAGCCCCACTTCCTTGCCTTTCAACCAGAGAGAAAGGGAAAGAAATAATTCTGAATTTAGTTATTCGGTAAACTAAGTCAATAAAGTCATCCAATGTAGTATTCCACCTGATAATAAAATCGGTTGCAATTTCTGTAATCCATTATGACAAAATCAATATTTTGTGATTCAAATAAAAAACTCCTACCCTATGAGAAAACCCAAAAGAATGAAAAATACCCACACAGAAAGTTTAGGCTGATGGCAACTCTCATTGTCTCATCATGGAAATTCTGGGTGTTACATAGCAGGGAGTTATGCCTTCTTGTCTCAAGGAGAAGCCATGAGTTTACATGTGCGCAAGATAGGTAGAGAACCAGCAAACATGATGGATAGAGTTGAGGAGTTGGAAGGCCTGAACTGCTAACATCATCCGGCTGTGACTTCTTATAACTACTTCAAAAGTTACTGGATCAGGCTGGAGAGATTGACTCAGCAGTTTAGAGAACTTGCTGATCTTGCAGGGGACCAGAAACACAGCTGACAACCACCTGTAGCTCCAGCTCCTGCTCTAGTGCCCTCGTGTGGCCCCCGTGAGGACATGCATGCACATGTGTATACTCAGACATACATGTGCACATAAATTAAGATAAATCTTTTTCATTTTTTAATGATTTATTTTTGTTTTATGTGCATTGGTGTTTTACCTGCATAAATGTCTGTGTGACTGTGTCATAACCCATGGAACTGTAGTTACAGACAGTTGTGAGCTACAAAGTGGATGCTGGGAATTTAACTCATATCCTCTGAAAGAGTAGACAGCACTCTTAACCACTGACTCATCGATCCAGCCCCAGGGTAAGTCTTTTTTTAATTAAAACAAAGTTGTCAAATACCTCAAATAGGATGTGTATACACTTTGAGTTGTAGACACTGCATAACGGTGACCTGTAATGCAGCATGCTTGTTCTGCCACTGAGTGGGGTCCAGTAGCAATGCTTTAGATCCAAACACCAGCCTTACTGTTACTCACTTCTGTTCAGAAACAATCTAGGATTTCTAGTTGCTCTTAAAATTCACACATGCAAGGCAAAGACAAAAAAACATGCCCATAACATGACAAAATAAATATTTATTAGAAATCAAAACTATTTCCTCAATGAGACCAAAGTATTCTTCCACTTTATGATTTTTTGAACATGTAGTTTCACACATGGAACACTAAGAACAAGTCTATAAATTAAATTGTAACAAGAATCAGGCACATTCAGTGAGAACAAGATGATAATTCTGTATCTGGAACTAAGATCACAGTAAGTATAAAATAAGATAAAAACATATAAGTCAATACAGAAGTCAAGTATGGCTTATGGACTCTGGTGAGGGCCTGTCTCCCTAAGCCTCACCCAGAGCCAAAGGAGACAGTCACCAGGCCCTGAGGAAGGAAAGGAACCTCAATAATACTGTACTCTCTTGGGCAGGTGCCTAAGAGCTCAATGACTTCACAGTACAACTTTTTACTCCCTCCCCCATCACTGGGAAGGAAGGTAAGCACCTGTGTTATTCCAGACACATGACATAATGTCTAGAATACAGAACTCTTCCTGGGGAAATGTTTAACTAAAACAGGGTCTGCAGCTACTGTCTGAGCATACTCAGTCCCATCCCTGGAAAACCTCTTCCCCCTGCATACTGAAATGTAAATCATGGAATTTTAAGATGTTCTGATAGGCCCATGAAGTCAGTGGTGTGTTGTTGTTGTTGTTATTTTGTTATTGTGTGGCTTTAGGCACATTTGACCTTTAGACTTGTCATTGGGGTTGTAAGGACAATGCTAACTTCTGCTAAGTCATGTGAGGAGGAAAAAAATTAACCCCTGAATGTGGCAACTACAAAAAGACCCAATGATAAAAACTGTGCAGAAGGACACCTATGGCCCAGATACCAGGACATCCTAGCCTCGCCTGCTCTGACATGACTTTGAACAAGTCTATGTCCATTCCAGAGCCTGAATGTTCAGGTGTATGATGAGGGAGTTGGTCCTTTTGAGCAGGACACCTTTGGTTGAGCTTCCCTTCCTTGGTTTGGTGAACTCACTTAGCTTGACCCTCTGGGCTGAAAGCCTGTGGGGAATCCCACATTTAGATGAACATCTAGTTCAGAAATGGTTTTGCCAACAAATTCCATCCAGATCCTCAGAAAGCAGATCTCCACAATGCATAAAAAGATGAAGGTCCAGCTAGTTGTTTGTATCTGCCCAACTTCCCCCACCTTCCATCCAAGTGGGAAATGCAGGGCTAGGTGGTTTTATCTACCAACTTCCAAGTCAAAGCAAAGCTGGAATCCTAGCTCCCTAGAGCCAATGGTTGCCCTTCCAACAAGGGCGTCTGTTCATCATAACTCAGGGGGACTCCAGCTACATAACACTGTCTTGTAGAGTGTCTAGAAACCTTAAATTCACCTGGCTGCTTTCTTCAACATCTTCCCCCATAAGTGCTCAGCCCATTTCTTGAACACCTCCAAAAGCTGAAGCAGCTGTTTACTGAACTGAACCACAATCTTAATCTAGTTCTCTCACTATTTCTGCCCATGACTTCCTCTCAGATATTCTCTTCTCCAGAGACACAAACATGCTTTGGCATCTTCCCCTACTTGAGTGTGACCTTTGAGCACTAGAGACCCCAGAAAAGATTGAGCAGGCAGTGGCCACTGCAGACTGGGCCATACCATCTACCCCCTCGCTCCCATCTGACCATGCAGGGTGAAATGGCCAACTTTTTACCTGCCCAGCTAAGCTGGCACACAGAACCTTCCAGAATGAAGAAAACTGCCAGAGTGGACTGCGTTACCTGGTCTCCAGTCAGATTAGCTCACCAAATGCCAAATTTTCTAAAGACCCAACTTATTTCTGATCCATTTAGCATTTTTTAAAAAATCTTCATAATGGTATATAATTCCAGCTCATACCTGTCCATGTGAGTCCTTTTACTACATAACAGAAGAGTGTTGGGAGATGGTTATTGTGTTTCTAGTCACTGAAAAATTCCTCAGTTTCCGAAGAGAAGAAAAAACTGAGACTGAGGATATGACAATAAGCCCCAAGTCTGGCAGATCTTCTTTCCTCAGAAGCCCTCTGCTACAGTTTCAAAGTTCACAGTTAACAAAACTATAGTTAGCACTGCATTTCCAGTATCTTGTTGAATTCCCCCAATGGGAAACATTATGTGTGCTAGTCACCTCTGAGTTTTAAGACCCTGTAAATAGATCAGCTGCTATTTCTGTCTCAGATAAAGTGAAGCCAGCACTGGGTGAGACTGGAAGAAGATGGTCGCCAAACCCTTCCCCCGGAACACAGCTGGTTCCCCTCAGGCTTCACGTATGTGAGGAACAGCTTATTGTCCTGACTCTGGCTACCCTGGGACCTAGTATATAATACTTACATGCAGTCCAAAAGACCAAAATCTAGTTCTCAGCTTTTAAAGTTGCTTACTTCATCTGAAGTAATTTTCATTCAAAACTGAAATGGCTTTTCTGAACTAAAAATAAAAACCTTGTGTCAATTCACTATTAAAAGCATCTCTCAGTTGGAGACAGTTTTAGCCTTGGATTTCATTCCAAGGATGGAGTCCAGTTTCCTGTTTGCTGGACGCTGTGCATTTCCATAGCTCACCCTCCTCCTCCCAGAGAAGACCTGGCTTTGCTCGGGTCCTCTGCACATTCTGGGACAGGATCAAAAGTCTCCCACAAATTCAGGAAATGTAGTCATAGTTGGGGAGCTGAGGAGCCTGTGGGCTGGAGCTGGCCCCAACAACAGGACCATAGCAGGAGGGCAGGCTGCTCTCCACACCCCTCAGACTCCAGTTCCTCCCTTCCCCAGCACACGTGTCTTGAAGCAGAGCCAACTCGCAGGTGCCTCACCCTAGACTTCAGGAGACTTCCGGACTCAGGACTGCTGGTCACAAGTTTGCACTGACCTCCCTCAAGTCACAAAACCCAAGGTGCTTTCCTTTTGAACATGACAGCTGCCCCTCAGCAGCCACGAGTCAATGTGAGGAGCAATTTGCTTCCAATTCTGCACCCTGCACAGCACCTCAGCCCCAGGTCTCGGCCTGCAGCATCACAGTGTCACATCAGCTCTAAGCTATGCTTCTACACCGACGTCTCTGGGAATTCATCCAGTTCATCAAATGCATAGAGGGTGGTTTTGCTATTGCTCCTGGAAGAATCTTGGATTTTGTTCAAATCTGCTGTGGGGAGGGGACAGAGAGAGAGGGGGGAATTAGAAGTACACACTCTGCCCTGTTGCTGTGTGTTAGTGCAATCCTTTTTCCTAGTCATGTTGAGTATTGAACCTAAGGCCTGAGCTACACCGCAGCCCCCAATCACTCAATTTTCAAAAGTTGTTCTAAATAGTGCTATAGAGAGTCAGAGCTGGGGAGGACCTCCAGTTTCATGGGTGGAAAAACGGCATCTTAATTCACATGAAGTCACATGGTCCACAAAAGAGGATCCCACACCACCTCACAGCAATAGTACCTGTCCGTCTTATGGGCCCTGGATCTTCTATAAGGAAGGACACGTGTGTTTTCCATTCAGTCCACTTCACCTCGTTGATCCTGAAAGTGTGGTCATGGTAATCACTACTTCTTGATCTCGTCTCAGTAAACAAACATATTTGGGATTTTCCAATTTCTACATAGCTCCTCTTCTGACTGTCACAGACATAGGGATGCTCCATCCTTTTCGCTGATCCTACCCACCTCAAAGACTACTGCCCCTAGCCCTTCCCTTTTTGTTACCGCAGACACAGCCGGAAGTCCTCATCTGCTACTTTGCACAGCTCCCCCATGCGGAATCTGCTTCTCAGCCATTCTGGTAACATTTTCTCAAACTCCAAGATGGTCCTGGCTCTCTGGGAAGATAAAGAAATCTAAACTGGTTTCTCCAAGCCTGCTCTGAGACCCCGGCTCCAGAGGAGGGCACACCCACAGGTGCCCCCATCGAATAGCTCACTCCAGCCTCACTTGTGCTTCATGCATAGGGCTTGATGGCTGAGGTGATCTACAGAATTCAAACATGAGAAAGCAGAAACTTGGGGACGAATGATTCAATTGCTTTAAGCTTGACATAAATAGTATATCTGGACATCAGGAGCCTCCTAATTGAAATTCTGGGGTCCTAGAACTGCCAGTGGAGGAAAGTTCAGAAGCCAAACATTCCCATGCTCTCTCCGGGGCTTGGACTCCATGGAAGCTTTCCTGTCCATGTGACCAGTCTTCCTAGAATGTTATGCACAATCCAATTAAAAAGATTCTGGTAACTGGAAACCCCCTGTGTCAAGCCAAAGCATTTCTCCCTATAGCCCTGTGAGTCCCTGCCTTGCAGGCAGCTCTGCAGATATCTGAAGGGATGCTCCCCTCCTCCACCCCTACTTCCAACAACCACTTCCCAAGCAGTGCTGTTTCTAGTCAGCTCACAAATCTGGTCCTCACCACAGGATTCACAATGTGAGTTGTTCTCAAAAGTGAGACATGGTAAGTCCAGCATAGAACAGAGCATAAATGTCATTTTGATTGTTCTAGAATCTTACTTCTCCTACTTCAGCCTGAGATCCCTTTTCAATGTCCACATATGGGTGATAATGAATAAAGATTCCCAAAAGCCTGCATTTCCCTGTGTGTGCTGTTATTCGAAACCATGCTCTCAAAGAACCTACATTAAGGCTTAGGCAGATTCTCAGGATGTGCCCCAGACCCACTGGTGCTGATGGCTGTGCAAGGCCTCAAGATAAAGTGCTGAACAAAGTCCCTACAGAGGCCTCTGCCCAGCTCACCTGTAAACGCCAGATCCGCTCACTCTCTTTGGAGACATTTTCCACCGTCTCCCCCATCAGGGCGATGAGCATGTTGAGGAGGAGGACGAAGGTGAGGATGACATAGGTGATGAGTAGGAAGAGAAAGAGGATGGGGTAGGTGGAGTTCTGCTGGATGTTCAGGTCGCCCAGGCCTATGGTGAGCTTGAAGAGCTCCAGCACCGCGTCGCTGAAGCTGCCATAGGAGCTGCAGTCCTTTTTGTCCTTGGAGCACTTCTCAATCAGTGAGGCCAGCGCTGGGGAGACAATGGGTGATCTTGAGATCTCTGCTGGCTGGCTACTCAGAGAACTCAGGTGTTCTCATCCGTACACTGCTATCTCCCTCATTCTGGCCTCTCAATTCCCATCTCTCTCAGGTTCCTCAAAAGCCTAATGAGGCTAGTTTTCCTGCCTAGCCTGCAAAAAGCCCTTCTTGTCTACTGAAGCCTTCCCTCCTCTACCCCCACTGTAGGGGAAGCTGTAGCCACGCCTACTTAGGGGCTGGCTACAGGTGTGCCTGACCAGGCTTGTGAGGGCGTGGTCAGAGCGACGTAGTGTGACTGCATTTGCTCTTTCGGTTTCACTTTGCTTCTTGCTATACAGACTGCTGCCACGCCAGCTGGCTAGGTCGCTCTGTAAGTAAGGCTTTTCCCTATTAAATACCCTTATATTTCTACCTGACTCCGTATTGGTAATTTCCCACTATATCCCACCTTGGCCCTCACTCATCCACAGCCTATCATTTGCCCTGTGAGTAACCCTGGCCCCATACAGACTACAGTTCTGACTGTATATAGCATGAATGTTCTCCCCCAGAACTATGAAATCCTGCATCCTCTCTTGATGTTGCATTATGGGTTCCCTATGAACCGGATTGGGCTTGTTTTTCTCTTCCGTCCAACACTACACAGCAGTGGTTTGTTGCTGGGTGAGTGATGGGTAGGCTCATGTGTGAGTGGATGCTTGCAGGGATACATGAGCAGGTGAAGGGTCAGATAAATAAGCAACATTTGTCCCAGAAAAGGCATCAGACAGAGGAGAGCAGCTGCCTAATTTGAGTCAACAGTCACTGGAGGAAGCAAAAACAACAACAACAAATCCCACAAAACTGACATGGAGAAAATCATGCTAAACATGCCATCTATCTATGCAGTGCTTAGAAATAAAATTGGGTTACACTGTTCCCACTGGATCCTAAAAATGCCCTCCACATCGCTGGTCTCCCACATAGTCTAAGCTCTCACAGAGATATGTGAAGCAAACTGTGAGAGTCACAAGATCTGGAGGGCCAGAGAAAGTTACCTCAGTGTACTTGGTCGCTTCTCGTTTTTTAAGACTACCCATCAAGTTTCTAGGAGCTCTCATTTCCCCATCTGTAGAATGGGTGAGAACATCTCAGATTGTGATGGATGTGAAAGTCTGGGGAAATCACAGTCTGCATGAGTAACAGTGACAGTCATGAGTTAATCCATGGGGTCAAGGGTGATGACGCCAACTTGGTCAAGTCGTTGAGAGAAGGAAAAAAGATTCTGCTTGGCAAGCACCAATGTGGCAAGTACTGTATCATCGCCGCCTGCTGAGGCTGCTGTGTGTTTTATCATTCTGATATCCAGATAAAGTTCTTTACAAGCAGGGCAGTTACTGTTAGTTATAAAGCAATTACCTACTCCAAATCCAAGTAAGAACAGGATGTAAACAAACAAGAACTTCAGAACATCATGCAAAATGACCTACAAAGAAATGGACATGATTCAAATGTGAGCACAAAGTCGTTGTGCACCATCTCCCTGCTGCCCACCTTAAACCTGCCTTCACCTTGTCCATTGTCCTTCCTGTCTTTATCCCCATAAGCTCAGGCGGCCCCCGCGGGGGCCCCCGCCTCTACCAGGAAGCCTTCTTTCCTGCTTTGTTCCCAAGGCCTCTCTTCCCTCAACCTCACCTCCCAGGACACAATCTCTCTGAGTCACCCTGTGCCTTTCTCTATGGAGTCTCCCATCTGCACCTCCCTGGGTGCATGCCAGAACCAGACCATACCAACTTTTAAGAACTGATTGCTAAATTTGCAATAAATAGCTATTATGAAGAACTGAACCAGACATTCAATTGCAAGATAAGCAAGTTCTGGGACTCTCATGAAATATGCCAAATTATGTGGCTGAAGTGTGACCAAAGCATAGGTCTCCAATGTTCTAACATGTGTAAGTGGTAGCTCTGTGACCTGATGGCTGTGGTAACTAAATTAAAATTGGTAATCACTTCATAGTATATAACTTTACCCAATTCTACACTTTTAAATGAACACAAATTTTCAATTGTAGCTCAATAAAAAAAATAAGAAAAAAATTATTGCAAAAGTATTCAACTATATGCCAAACACAGTGGAGCATGCCTATAACCCAAGCATGCTGAAGGCAGAGACATGAAGCCCATGAGCTTCTAACCAACCTGACCTCTAGATTAAAACCTGTCTCAAAATAAAATTTTAGTCACATAAATTTATAACTAAGCTACATTTTTTAATATAATAAACATTCAAAATTGAGAGTTATCTGGTTATTTCACTACACGATACAATTATTTATGGTCTGAAGGATTAATTATAGCTATTGTAACCAGATGGTGGAAATTCAGTGTAACAAATGTGCAACTGTGTATCTCTTCCCAACTATGTTAAGTGGTATAATGTCGGCAACTGCAAATCCACCGCGGTAGAAATATTTATGCCATGAAAATTGGCAATGCTACAAATATTTAAATCCTGCCAACAAAATGTTCCTTGTTTTATTGATATCTACATCTAGATTCAAGACAATGACCCAGAAAATGTTAAGGAAGATTCAACTTCAAAATGTGGGCTGTAGGAAACTCACAACTGGACAAAGTACAGAGACCCTGTGGCTGCCGCTGCCCAGCCACAAATGGGACATCTATATCATATGCCCTCCCCACAAGGCTCAGGGATCACTGTGGAATAAAGGGCAAAAAGATTGTAAAAACCAAAGGTCAGAGAAGATTAGACAGAAACAGTGCCTTCTGGACATACCAGGAACACTGAGCCAATGAGCAACAACTGTTGTCTGTAGAACAACTGCATAAGATCAAGCCAACCAGCATTCCAGCATGGAGTGTGCCGGGGTTCACCAGCCCCACCTTTAGCTGAGGAGTTATTATTGATAGTTGATGGCTTCTGGGGGAAAGAGGGTCGGTTTTTCTTTAAGAGTGGGGTCTTGCTAAGTTGACCACATTGCCATGGATGACCCCACACCCAAGAGTATATGTGCAGCACAAATTGGAATCATTAGGCATGTGTGTGTATGTGTGTGTGTGGTTTTATATGTATTATATATTATATACATATACATATATATATGATTTTTTTAAATAAAGGAGAACATGAAGTTAAGAGTGGGGTGAGGGAAGAAGTTAGGCAGAAGTTAGGCAGAGGAGTCAGGTAAATGTGATCAAAATATACTGTATACACACATGAAATTTTCAAAACATTAGTTAAAATATTACACTTTTAAGTATAGGCTGTGTCTCACTGTTACATCATGACTAGCACAGGAATGTTATCAACCCTTCCAGTGCTTTCTAACAGTTATCCAGCTCAACAAAGTGGTTGCTCTCAGCTTAACTAAAGCTCCAGGCTAAGTCTCCAGGGCTTTATCTCACCTTGCTGCTTACAAAGTAAAATGTCAACCAGCCTTCAGATCAGACAGGATAGTGCTCACTTGACAGCTGCAACCACAGGCTGGTGACATCCTTCACATAGTAAAAATGAATGTATGCCATGTAGATATACTTGTCTATGCATTTATGTAGGTGTGCACACACACATGTATCCCAAAAGGCAATTGTTAGAGTTTTTCCAGCATGCCGATGCTCTAGGGTCAAAACATCTCCTTCATAAAGTGTGTTCCTGTCCAGTGCCCAACAAGCCCAGGTGTTTTAAGGATTGGACATTTAACATCTGAACAAAACCAAATGAAGACTGTGGCATTTTGGAGAAAGTGCTGGGCCACTGATTATTGCTCCAGATCTTAGTTTCCACATCTGAAAAGTGGACACTCTGCCCTCGAAGGGCTGTCTGCACAGTTCCCAGCATACCTTCTGGATCATGACGCTGTACATGCCCATGGACTGGAAGCCTCTCGTGTAGTAGAGCATGTTCGCCCAGCCCAGGGCCATGGCCAGCACGAGGCAGGCGAGGTATTCTTTGTAGGCAAACAAGTACAAGAAGACAGACAGTATCACAAGCACAGCTTGGACAAAACTGTTCAGGAGACACAGGAGACAGGGCCTTACTTCTCAGCAGTGGGTAGAAACATTCACACATCCGCCAAACCTTAGCCTCCCCAAGGGTCACCCTGGTGGCTGATGCTGATGAGATATGTAATACTACCTATCATCTGGGTCTGAATGCAGTGTAGACTGCATCATTAGATGCAAGGAAATGCAAAGTGGATTGGTTGTACCTGGCAGGGACTATATATATATGGCTTGGAAATCACCTACATGATTATGATTCCCTCATAGATTTGAGAAATACTGGGGTAGATCAATGATCTAGTAAAAAGTGTGTTTTAAATAAAAATTACAAAAGCTTCCAACATTCATACTCAGAGACTAATCATAATATTAAAGTCTCCCAAAGCCTACTCTTTTATCATTTTAAGGTATGATGTATGCTAAATGAAGTAAGATGGTTATAAAATAACAGTTACCATCTTTCCACTTATGTGAAGTACCCAGAGTGGTCAAAATTGGAGACTAAAAATAGAAGAGTGGTTGCCAGAGAGGAAGACAGATGGGGGTTATGATTTACTCAGTACAGAGTTTCAGTTTTGCAGGAAGGAAAGCAACCCAGCAGCTGGGTGCACAGCCATGTATTCTCCACAGCTTTGAGCTGTGCTTCAAAGTGGTTAAGATGGAGGCTTCAGGGGTGGTGAGGTGACTCAAGTGTAGAGGTGCTTCCTGCCAAGCCTGATGACCTGAGTTTGATTCCTGGAACTCACCAAGTAGAAGAGGAGAACCAACACCTACATGATGTCCTCTGACTTCCATATATGGCATGACTTCAACTATGGTGTATGCCCTCCATCCCTCTTAAACACACACACACACACACACACACACACACACACACACACACCATGAAATGTTTTATAGGTGTTTTATAAGAATACATTTTAAAAGTATTTTAAAGATGGTAGTTTTTGTGTGATGCGTCATTGTGGAAGAGGTGGCAGAGCAATTGCAGGAGCCAGAGGTTGGGGAGACCCGCTGCAAAGCAGTGTTTTCTGAGTATGGCAGCACCAACCACAGTGGCTGTGGCAGCATGTACAAGATCTACATAAGATCAAGCCAACCAAAATCCCAGCATGAGTAGGGGAGGGGCCCACAAAGCCCCGCCCATAGCTGGAGCTCTTGGCAAATGATGGCTGCCAGGGGAGGAAGAATGTTTTCCTCATCAATATGGCCCCTGATGGGCTGCCAGCCTTGTCTGTATGATGAGTCCTGAGCCTGTTATATAGTAAAACCCTGTCTCCAAAAAACAAAAAGAGTACATGAAATTGGAAGGGAGAAGTGGTAGAGGAATATAAGAGGGGGTGGAAGGGTGAGAGTAAACGCTGGATTTAATGAAAAATGTATTATATATATGAGACTTTTCCAAGCAATAAATATAGCATACAACAAACATACATGAAGAAAACATCCTCCTAAACAGTGCCCACACTTGCAATTTGGCAGACATCTAGTTGAAAACTCTTGTGGCTTTCTAATATCAGACAGTTTCACAATTACAAAGTACCTAAACAAATCTAGACTACAGCAAGCTTGCATTTCCTGCAAGTGAAGAACAAAGGCGTGACTGATGAACTGCACTAAGGATGTTGGTGGTGTGGAAGGGTGGCCCCACCTTCCTCTACCATAACAAAACAAAGGAGAAGCAGAAGAGCAGGACAAAATGCACTAGGACCAGAGGCTGTGTAAACATATCTTCTCTGGAACTATCAAACTTTTTTAACAGTGTCAGGCACCCATGTGCCCTGCATCCTGGGGCAGTGTCTATCTGGCCTGTCCACTTACTGAGCCTGTCCTTGGGGGATGAAGAACTCAGTCCATACCTCTAGAGCAGTGTTTCTCAACCTTCCTAATACTGCAGCCCTTTAATTCAGTTCCTCATGTTGAGGTGACCCCCACCACAAGATTATTTTCATTGCTACTTCATAACTGTAATTTTGCTACTGTGATGAATCGTAATGTAAATATCTGATATGTAGGATGATCTTACGTGACCCCTGTGAAAGGGTCATTTGACACCCACATACAAAGGGGTCATGACTCTCAGGTTGAGAACCACTGCTCTCAAGGGCAGGTACGCATAAAACGCCTAGGTAGGGGCTGGAGAGGGCTCAGCTGGCATAAAGCTTCCTACATGAGCATAAGGACCTGAGTTCAGATTCCCAGCACTCATGTAAAAAAAGCAAGGTGTGGGCATCAGTGCTCATCATCCCAGCCCATGGGGAAGCAGGAATAGGAGATGGGATCCCTGGGGCTTGTTGACTACCCAGTCAGGGAACTCCAGGTTCAGTAAAAGACCATTTTCAAAAAAGTAAAGGTTCTAAAAAAAAAAAAAAAAAAGTTGAGAAAGAATGATAAAAACACACAAACA